TTCTTTCACTTTAACCAAGCGTGCGTGTGTAGCTGACACCGATGAATGCATGCCGACAAAAGCTCCCAAGCTTGAATAATCAGTAAAAGGAAAGAGTGATTTAAAGTATCCGACTGTTTACTGCACTGACATACATGTTAGTTGAATTAGCTTACAATATGCCCACCACTATATAGCGAGGCAGCGTTCATTATAATACCACAGGGATCAAACAGCGCACTCTCTTTAATGAAAACAATGAGCCAATACATTAGATTATGTGGCTGTCAGGGCGGCTATCACTCAGGCAAATGCACTAATCCCACATGAACAACTGCAGCCAACAGCTGCACACTTCCTGCTACATTCAGACGAGCCCGGCAGCAGAGCGGAGGCATTTCTCAGAGACGGATGAAGAAGAGGTCAGGGAGACCAGCCGTTATTTACACAAGGAGTCTGACTCACTGGGATACCTTATGACTCATGTTTGGATACTTCACTACTTTACTACTACTCTACGTTATCTTATCAGGTTAAGAGTGAATGATTAAGGAGGTCTTAACACACTAACATTGAACACTTTTCTAACATTTAATAAACCGTTAAAAAACCCATATTTTTATGGATATTTCATATTATATTAAAAACTGTACAATGAACCCAAACAGTGAACTGGAATTTACTTTTCTTCACAGAAATGAACGAAATTGCTGAGATATCGGCCTAACTTTATTTATTTTTTACGCTTTCTTACACGCATTAAAATCAAGGAGGTCTCGCGACCCCCTCATGAAGCTTTGGCGACCCCTAGTGGGCATCCCCACCCCCAGGTTCCTATATATAATACAAATATAAGTAGAGTTGCAACAATAAGTCAGTTAGCTGTCAACTATTACATCAATCGTCAACTATTTTAATATTCAAATAATCGTTTTGAGTCATTTTTTAAGGAAAAAAGGTTAAAATTCTCTGATTTCAGCCTCTCAAATGTGAATATTTTCTTGTTTCTTTAATCCTCTGTGACAGTAAACTGAATATCTTTTGGTTAATCAATGATGAGATTGTAGTCCCTAGTGGAGGAAGTCCAACATAATCAGATCAAAGAATGAGTTAATGAGACAAAGAATCAGATTAAACATTCATAGATCGATAGTTAAATATAATCTATGTTGGTCACAACCCTAAAAGTATTGTGGTTCATACGCAGCAAAGTTAATTCATCACATTGAAATAAGGGTAGTTTCCTATTTACGCTGTCTGACCTTGTGGTCAAAAACAATTTGAATATCTCAATCATTAAAGTGGCAGTTTGAGTAATTGAATTGAATTTTTCATTTTTAATTTAATCAGAATAATAAATCTACCGTCTACATATAAATCACAACCAATAATGAACTGAATTACTTTTGTGTTGAAAAGCGTCACACAAACTGTGTAAAACTAAAACATTACGTTTAATATAATATAGTGTAAAAGACATACCTATGAATATTAAATTACATTTCTAAATGTTATATATATGTTTATTTTAGTTCCTTATGTATTGGTACTGTCTTATAATATGAATCATTGAACGGATCCCGTGTTTAATTCTTGTTTAATTCTGTTGTGTTTCATCTTGTATGATACATTTATTGTCGCCTGCATTAATAATATTATAAAAATATTTATTAACTAACTACTGCAGCATAGCTCAGTTAATGTTTACATCTGTCCGTCTGCTACTAAATCCTCCGTTCTACTAACCAAGACAATAAGTGTAGCTAACAGGTAGAAACTCTACTCGTTGCTGCCCTCCGGTGGTCGGGTGTATTAATAACTAGATTAATTTGTCCCACAGTGACACTAAAATAATATAACTGATCAACTGTTTGCAATAATAAGAGAAAGGAAGTAGATAAAAATGACTTTACTTAGTAACTAATTACTTTTATATACAGTAAACATCAGGAAATCAACAATTCCTGATGATACAAATTCATCACGATAAACTTATCGAGTGTTTTAATCGCGATAATATCAGATTCATTCCATCCGTACAATCAATTAAACTAAATATGCATTGAATCATTTGGGTGAGATACATAAATAACCCTAATTTACTGTCATCCCATCATTCTGGGCTTTTATCTAGTTGATAAAAAGGCGCCTGTCTTCCATTTTTTAGATTTTACACAACAAAATAAATCCTACTTTAAGGACTCTCTGAGCCTTGAAATGCATTCAAGGATGAAAATATTCCACAATGGCGTGAACTAAGTAATCCGGTTCTTTGTGTCTACTTTCTGTTTGTAAATGTCATCGTAAAAATAATTAAATAAAAGCTCTGCCGCTGCTCTGATTTACTGCACGAGGACCACTCGCTCCTTCCTGTAACACAACATGAGCATCATACTGATGAACGCTGAAATCAATAAGAGGTTGCATCAACTGAGCTACATGTTTTAGGTTTATTTCCACGTAGGAGAAATGCTTTTAGCCACAAATTGTATTGGAGTAAGTGCCTTTTCGTTGGGGGGGGCCATTAGGGGAGGAGGTCAGTTTTAGGTTTAGAAGCTCTTTAGAGGCACGGGGGTCTCCACTGCTAACCAACAACCTAATCCAAAAACAGACAGCTTTACTGTGTCTCCAGAGGAGGTAGAGGGGAGATGAGGATTAAAAGGCGGTAACCCAATTAAGACAAGGCTGATGGGAGTAAAAAAACAGGGATTTATGGGGAAAAAAGAGGTTTAAGGTCAAGACAGAGTGAGTGTTGTCCTGTTGTGAGATGCTACATGGAGATGGAGGATGGTTTACATTTAATTCCGCACAGTAAAGCTTGCTTGAGTTCGGTAATCCAGCAGTGAACATGATGTCCGCCTTAAAGGTCGAGTGTGTAAGTTTCAGGGAGGATCTAGTGGTAGACATGTAATATAATATCCACAGGTGTGTTTTCATTAGCGTATAATCACCTGAAAACGAGACTTGTTAGCATCGTCTGGGGATTTCTTTCTCCAGGATAGCGAAGTCATGACCCGTCCTTCTCTGACTCCATACAACAGCTCTCAATCATCACGTGAAACTCCTCTTTTTATATATCTTCACACAGCTAATCTGCTAACATGGAGGCAGCAGCTTTTATGACCTATGACCACCAGGGGGCGATAGAGTTGTTTCGGCTTTACTTTTGTTTAACTGTCATGTCGTCCATCTTTATATGTGTCGATGGCTTGCATACACTTATTAAAAAATAACAACATACAGTGCACATCTATTCCTTAACGCACATATATCGGATCGGTACTTGGTACTTCGCATTGCACCAGTTGGACTCCTTCAAACGGTTGAATGGACGATGAGAAAAGGTCAATACTGTCTGATAGAAAGCACTGATACACGTAGTCTTACTGTATATTTGCATTACCACACCTCGCTGCCGACAGCCTTTTCCCTCCTTTAATCAAACATTAACTGTTAAACAGCAGATCGTTTTCTAAAGAAATCTATGAATTGTTTTGCTCGATAAAGTGTCAGGAAATAGTTCCCAGACTCCAAGGCGACATCTTCACATGTGTTATTTAGTCCAAACAGATTAACATATTCTGTTAAAAGAGATATAAAACGGAGAAAATCAGCAATTCATCATGTTGTCAAGCTGGAACCAGTTGACCTAAATGACAAATTACATGTTTTTTCTTTAAAAAATGACTAAAAACGATAAATTAATTAGTTGTTTGGCTCATAAAATGTCAGAAATTATCTTGTTTTGTCCACAACCCAAAAGATATTCAGTTTACTATCATAGACCAGTTAAGGGAAACCTTTTCTATCATTTATCAAACTGACTAAGTGACATATTTTATGTAAATTTCATATTATATTAAAAACTGTACCATAAAACCCAAGAACAAGACAAAAAAACAAGAAGGCCTTGCGACCCCCTGTGAAGCTTTGGCACCCTCTAGTGGGGGTCCCGGCCCCCAGGTTGGGAACTACTGTCATAGAGGACTAAAGAAACCAGAAAATACTCAAATCACAGATTTTTGACATTTTATTCTTTTTTGTGAATCAATCAATTAATTAAGTAATCGTTGCACATTTTCTCTCTTCTACATCACTCTAAAGTGAATATTTTTGGATTTCGGTCTCTAGTTCTGACAAAACAACACATTTGAGGACTTGACCTTGACCATTTCTTCACTATTACTCCATTAATCCAAACAGTAATATCCAGATTAGTTAAAAATGAGAATAATAGTTAGTTGCAGTCCAAACTAAATATCTCTACATACAATTCCTGACCATTAAAACTCCTTAAAACACACCACAATGCGAATATAGGCTGGTTCTCACAACGACAGGAGCAAACACACACACACACACACACACACACACACACATTGTCCAGTATCCCACTGTAAAGCCATCCTCCTCCATCACAATGCTTTTATTTCCCACTTTAAAAAACATCACCGAGACTCAAACACTGAACCATGTCCTGCTCTTTGGACTCAGTTCGGTCCTGCGGTCTAACCGCTGTGGTTGCTCAGATGTTTACAGCAGTCTTATTAAACCTTTAATAACTTATCCAGACAATTTAAGACACAACCCTTTAAAAAAAACACACACACTCACACACATGCCCCATGCGTGCTCGGACACAGCCTACAGCGCCGGTACGCGTCGGTACGTTAATTGGACCGTCAATTAGCCTACGCAGTAATTAATTACACCTTTAATGTTTTAACGACGACTCTCGACTGAAAACAACCAAAAAAAAAACAGGAGCAGAGATGCTTTAAAAAAGTGTCACTAAATCAACAAGAGGTTTAAGTTACATTACCGAAGCAAAAACACACTTTTATTCGAGGGAATTGTGCTTAAATGAAGTAAAACCCTCCGTTAGTGTGAGAGAGGTTCGGTTGGAGCATCCGAAGCAGAGCACACACGCCTTGTATCCTCATTCAAACTCCACTGGCTCCTGTCCTCCTTCATTAAACTGCTTTTAAATGAGAGAAATGTGCGTGTTAACTTCCACTCACCGCTCCAGCTGAGGACGCACACCTGAAGGAACAGCGGTACAAATGTTCTGAGGAGGAAAGCCATGTCTTCTGGCTGCTGCTGCTGCTTGTCGTATCCAGTCCGAAATAATGTGAACTGAAGTGGTGTGTCGACGAGAAGTTAGCCCGCAGCCCGGAGGAGACTGAGGAGGAGGAGGAGGAGGGAGGGAGGGAGGAAGGAGGGAGGAGGGAGCTCAATTAAAGTCTCAGGCTGGCGGGTCCTCCTCCTCCCATTGTGGGGCTTTTGTGTGTGTGTGTGTGTGTGTGTGTGTGTGTGTGGTAGAAGCAGCTTATCAGTGTTTTCCTCTGCTACCAACTACGTCCTCTCCTAATTCACACAGGGACTATTTCTTGGTAGAAAGTCCTCAAGGTCACGATAATAAGCCTTTACCTTATCACGCCTGCACACCTTTTAGCCCCAATCACATGGCCTGTTGGCTCAATTCAGCTTAACGGAGCACTTTATTTACATTTCCATAGTGGTTGATGGTAATAATGCATTAACGCATCGGCCTGAATTTAATTTGGAAGAATTGAAACTTTCATGCAGTGAGGGGAACGGAGGTTGTGACCCCATGTGTAAAAGAAAAAGACAAGAAAAGGCAGAATGTGCCCTCCAGATGCCCCTATTGTAGATAAAACATGATAGCGGCACATTGAGGGGGCATAATGTGCAAGAAAACCTAATAAAGTGCCCTCTAGGGTTCCTGTCCAGTGGATAAAACATGATAAAGTGCTCCCTGCATTGCTTTTCAGTGGAGAAAACCTGGTGAAGTTCCCTACAGAGGGCCTTTCCAGTGGAGAAAATGTGATAAATGCTGCCTTCAAATGGAGCTCATGAGTTCCCGGTTATGACAGGGGAAGTTGTGTGCACACAATACGGTTGGCGTTCAGGTAAGAAAGCTAGCGAGCGGGTAATGTAGTGCAGGAAATACAAAGGAAGAGACAACTCAACGTTTTCATCATCTCTGAAAACGCCAGCAAACGTTCCACTTACGAGGTTGTGGATACCACAAGAGCGGAGCGTTAACATGGACTAACAACGTCTTCTGAAGGCAGCAACAACAGCATGCAGCTGTATTTACTCAACTACATTAAAGGCATAGTTTGACTATCTTGAGAAATCTTTGCTGATTCCAACTAACTCAGGCAGTAAGCATAGCTCAGCAAACTGTTAACTACTAAACACATGTTGACGATTGATTGATTGATTGATTGATTGTTAACTGTGATAGTAACTGAGGAGTCTCCTCTACACCACGTGCAGTATATCTGTGTGTGTGTATATCCCTTCTTGGTCTCAGCTCTGGTAGTTATCAGCTGCGTTCCTCCAGCTGGTTGCTTTTTAATGCACCCTGAGTTATGACAGATGTGGGCGGTGTAAGGGGAGTCAGGGCAAGCTTGGCTCCTCTTAATAAGACATGAGCTCCCCTAAAAGCACCATTTGTCAAATTCTGGGGAGTCTCTGACAGTACTCTTACTAAAATACAGATACTATGTGCTTTATCCTCATGGACCGGGTGTTAAATTAGGCCCATTATTGATGTATGTGTGTCATTAACTGATAGTTAAATAGCAGATGTGCTGACATAAAGCAAGTAGGACCAAAAGCTTTGGTGTAGTCCGCAGACCGGATGTGGGTAAGACTGCATTTTCTTACTAATTTAGACACTTTTATATCCATTGATGAATTAAAGGGCATCAAAAACAATGTGGCGACGGAGGAATGTGGTTGTTTTCTTGAGACGACTTTGTTTTTTAGAACGTTTTTAATGTTTTTGTTGTGGATTTTTGTACTTTGTGTTGTTGTTGTGCTTTTGTGCAGCTGCTACCATAACCAGGTCTCTCGTAAAGGAGATTTTACATTTCATTCACATCTCAACTGGCCTTCCTGGTAAAATAAAGGTGAAATTAAAAACACTTTATTGTTTTTGTGATAGAAACACCATTAACCTAATTAGCTACATGCTCATACAGTCAGCTTGCAGCTCGTGGTGTTTTATGACATTTGCTCAAACCTGAACCCAAAACTGAATTTATCCACAAAAGTTATGAGTTCTGGGACAAGATGATTATTAGTTCTACATGTTTCAACTCCTTTATGACTTATTTAGTGACTTGTGATCACTTTTTACAGCTCTGGTTAGTCAGGCACCTGCTTAAGGAGCTGCTGCTGCTCTATATCACCAGTTGGTCTCTAATCCTCTGACTGAGAGACGTTTGGTTGTACCTCCCCGCCCTCAGGCTTAAAACTAAAGGAGACTGTGCCTTTGAAGTTGTGGAGGCTCTCTCTCCCTTCAGACTGCTGTGGGCCAGTTTAAAAAGCAGCTCAACACTCACTTATATACAACATTGGATAAACTTTACTTGATTATAAAGAAAAGTTACTAGCGACAATGGAATGATTATTTGTTTATCTTTAGTTTTTATTAAGTTTTAACTCAAAAATTAATTGTTGAAGCACCTCACTTGTTGGTTAGTGAACTTACACACAGTATTTTACGTACAGGCGACATAATTCCAGTTTGTTCCAGTGAATCATTTTCTTTAAGTTAATCCCATTATAAAAAATATAAGCATTATATTGCTGCTGTTTATTTCAGTTTATTTATCATCATAAAGCCCAATTATGCATCTAAATAATCCTTAATGACCCCCCAAAGTGTAAAGATTTGATGTTTCAACATTAGTGGTAGAAGATGCATTTAATTGACTTTATTCAGATTAATTCTTTTCACACATTTTAAATAAGTTTGGAGAAACGCTGCATATGAGAATAACTTCAATTAACTGACTGGAATTAGTCCAATTAACCTACTTTAGCCAAGTTACCGTAACAATAAATACTTGTAGTTACTACTACTCAAATCAAATATCTTTTATATCTTTAATAAACTTGTAAAAGGTTTAAGGCGATCAGTTTCCTCCATCACTTAAGTAACTCTTAACTGTTTTACAGTGTAAAAGAAAAAAATAGTGTTTATAAAGAAAAGACAACAACTTCTGATCATCCAGCAGTAATAAACACCTCAGCAACCCTATAAAGGTTAGTGTTTCTACATCCAGCTGTTTTCTAGCTCGCCCACACATTTTCTACAGGAAATACATGGCCTAATTAATATTCTTCTAATTAAAAATCAACCTGGATTATGTTGGAATAAATAGGAATAAATTAGGACTAAAGCTGCACACAATGCGGCGTTCAGAGTGAGGAGGTAGGAGGTTGGATTTACTGGACTTCCTCCAGTAAAGTGAGCTGACTTCTGGTGTTTCCATCACCGACTGTAGAGTCACCTTGACGAACAGCTGCAGCAGAAAAAGCTTCCTGGACTCACTCGGTCACCCAGCTGTCCGGTCGCCGTCACACACACACACACACACACACACACACGTACAGCTGTGGAAGCAGGACAGGTATTAGACATGGAGACGGAAACATTGTGGTTACAGGACAGTTGTAGAGTCCTGTAGGTTCACCAGGAAGTGCTTCTGAACATGATATAGCAGGGACAATGGGAGTGTGGTGATGGTGGGCAGCTGTGGCTCAGGAGGTAGAGAGCGTTATCCATTAATCAGAAGGTTGGCGGTTCAATCCCCGCCTCCCCCCCACCCCCAGCGGCATGTCGATACATCCTTGAGAAAGAGACTGAACCCCAGATTGCTGAATGAGCTTCTGTTTGTGATGGACTTCAGCATCACTGTATGGATGTGAGACTATTTAAGATGTATTTTAACCCGGTGGTTTCTAGAGTTATTTCACTACCAATACTAGAATCAGAAAATTCTCCAACAAAAGTGGCTAAAATTGGCGAGTATGTGTGTATCTGTGCACCAATCTACTCCCATTAAGGAAGAAATACATCGACCAGAGTTTAATTAAGCATTTATGTAACAGTTCAGGCTAATGGATCGTATCTTGGAGTGTGTCCTGACTGTCAGGGTAGCACGAGTGGGGCACTGACTTATGGAGAGGGTAACATTGACTACGGACCTCAGTATGCAGAAATATTCAAATATACATACAGGAAAATAACATATAAAACACACTGCATGTTATTTTGTATCGTGGGTACCCATAGAGCCCATTTTCATTCACATATCTTGAGGTCAGAGGTCAAGGGACCCCTTTGAAAAAAAAGATTTTTTTTTTAAAATAGCCTAACATTGGAGCGTTACTTAACCTCCTTCCCGGGAAGCCAGCATGAATATTGTATTGGCACACAAGCAACCTGTCTTTGTTTCTAATCACAGGTAACCCTTTACGTGGTCTTCTCATAGCTTTTAATTTGTGAGGTGTTTCTGAGGCCTGAGGGAGGAGAAAGCACCTGTATGAACTCAACAATAAAACCTCATATGAGCTTAGAAAACGTAGACGGCGGCAGCAGCAGCCGTGTGTAAAAGTGTATCTTACACCTCGTATCAGGGAATATTTGGTTTGGATTTCAGCCAAATTCTCACTCCACTCCGGAGGAAACCATCTCTCACATGAAATCTATCTACCTTTTACTCATGAGACCTGATTCTAACCAGACGTCTCCTCAAAATGTTGGCCCACACACTCTCTCTACTGGCTCTTTCCACCTCAGCACGCCCTTGTGAGAAGGGTCTGATTAACTAAATCTGGGACCAATTAAGATTTATATATATTTATATTAAGATTTTATACACTTTCACTATGAAAAGTTGTAATTTAAGCCATGAATGATCTTTTTTCACACACAAAAACTGGATTTCTTTCTTTTTTATTTCCATTTTCTCTCTGATTGCTCATTTTGGATGCAGAAACAGCCACAAAACAGCTGTTTTCATCAACCTGTACTGACGTTCATTTGACTTTTTCAGGGGCAGATTGACAAAAATGTTCATGGGGTGTCAGAAAGAGTCACATGTATCAATATTTGCTTGAAAAAAGACCCTAAATTAGGATATTTGAACTCAAAAGCATTACATTATGGTGGCATATCAGTATAGAAACATCTAAAAGAGGCATTAGATATCAATAAATTGATTTATTTCCAGCAGCATAACAATGTTTTATTACATTATTTTTAAAATGAATCTAAATAAATGTGTTAAATTTGATCTGGATGGTTAAAACTCACACAGGACTTCCAGTTAAAGAACAATAAAGAATAAGTTAA